CATCTTTTTGGTGTGGGTGAAGTGTAGAGTCCATGGGAGCTGACAGCCCAAGGTTGGAGACGAAGATAAAAAGGTTGGGTAGGGGTTGTAACAGTCTGGTCCCATATTGATATCTGGTCCCATATTGATATCTGGTCCCATATTCCTCTTCTAGGGAATGGAGAATCCACAGGGCTTTTTAAGTGGGGTATGATGAAATTTGTGATTTGGAAAGAAAAGTGGGAGAGGGATAAAGGAGAAGTTTGGTGGGAGACCTTTTCAGAAATAAAAATGGATGGGATCTTTAAGCCTTTGTGTAGGAGAAGATGAGAGAAGGAAGGAGGTGGGGATGACAATGATGTCCTAGACAACTAGGGATAACAGAAGTCAGCAGGAGTGTGACTGGGGAGGGGAAGGAAAAGAGCCAGTGTTTGGTTGTAACTTGCTCAGGAGAGTTAAGGAGTGTGGAGGATGAGATACCCAATACACAATTGAAATGTGGGTCTCAGGGAAGAACTTGAGCTAGAAATGGAGATCTGGGGACTCCAGGCCCATCAGTGATGGCTGAAGTCATGGGAGTGGGTGAGGTCCCTGGTGGAGTGAAAACTGGTTGTCCGTATGTTTGTAAATACTCATTAATGATGGCTTACAATGTCTGTATATTCCCCTAAGTTTGATTCCCTATTTTCTTTACCAGAACTGAAGAATTGTTCAAGAAGTAAACTTGAAATCATTTTCCCTGGAGTCTTCCCACCATGCTGGCTTTCTGGTGTGCATATGTTCTAGCTTAATTATAGGCCAGTGGACTATTATTTAGTGATTTGGAGAACTCTTCAGGTGTTTGCTCAACATTTGTCAAGCTTTAAATTAAAACTCATGTTTCAGGCTCCTTATGTTCCCTGAGGAATTAGGAATAAGTGCTATTTGTTGGGCACTGAGCACTTCCCATGGGGCACACCCTCGGTTAAGTGCTTATCCTACGTGACTGTGTGTAATTCCCACAACAACCTGTGTTATTATTACTCCCATTTTACTGATGAGGAGCTAGAGGCTGTCAAGAACAGTGTAAGGTAACCTACATGAGCTTCTGTGTCCAGGAATGGCATAACCAGGACTCCAATCCAGATGAATTTTGCTCCAAAAGGCTGCCTTTAAACACAGTGCCCACTGCCTCCTCTTCCAAAAGACTCTTTTTATCTGCAGCTTTCAAACAGAGCTCTTGGACAAGGAATGCAAACCTCATTTATAGAATCAAACCTCTTGGCTGTATTCAGATCATCAAACGTTCTTGCAGTACAAATAAAGTTTAAGTATCAGTTGTTTATTTTGATGTTAGCCATGCTAAATAATTCACTAATCAGATAGTCATTTTCTGACACGATTGTCAGTCATCTCAGCCTCCTTTGGTCTTTGCCAAGGATTAAAATACTTGCAGAGTTTTATCTGGAAGACGCCATGATATAAATAATTGTAAGGACCACGATCTTGCCTCAGAATCCCACTGGAAAAGCCAGCTAGACACCACATGCAGGGAACATGTGGTGTTGTAGGTTCAGTTAGAGCTTTCAAAGTCCGCAGACTGGAGTTTAAGCCCCAGTGATCCCGCATGCTAACTCTGGACTTCAGTTTTCTCATTTGTAAAACTAAGGTAATAATAGTATTCACTTTATAGGGTTGTTATGAGATTTGGTTACAAGTAAAACATTTAGCATTATAACTGACACCTAGTATGTATTCCATAAATACAACTGCACCTACTGAAAACTTGAAGAGGCAGAAATACCTGTATAACATTTTAAAATCAGAATTGAAGCTGAGTAAATTCACAAAACAATGAGGAAATTCCATCCATTCATTCAAGTCACCCTTACCTGCTGAACTTGAATTGGGTCCTGGGAACAAAAAGATGAACAAGGTACAAAATAAGCCACAGTCCCCAGCCTCCAGCTGCTCAGACTCTAGGCTACTAAACCCATGCTTTGATATCCACTAGATGTTTTCCAGAAGATGAGTCGTCGTTTTGAACAAGATACAGCCTGGCACCTTTGAAGTCTCATAAGTGGCACACAAAAAGGGAGAAAATCTATTGTGGAAGAATTGATGGTCCCTGAAGTATCCTTAGAATGACAGGCTTCTGACCCCTGAGGAAGGGCTCTGTTAGGGGTCAACAGTACGTTACCCTGTTGTCATGCCATAATTCTAGACAAGGGCACCTTATTCACTTAGCAGGCAAAAACATTTCCAAAGAAAGAACCATGACCTAGCAAAAAAGCTAATAACCATAAGGTTACCAAAGAGGAAAGAGGGGTTGGGGTGTGGAGTGGGGGTAGTAAGGAGTTTGGGATTAACAGGTACACACTATTGTATATAAGATAGATAAATAACAGGGACCTACTGTATTGCACAGGGAACTATATTCAATATCTTGTAATAACCTAAAACGGAAAAGAATCTGAAAAAGAATATATATTTATGTATATGTGTGTGTGTATAGTCACTTTGCCGTATACTTGAAACTAATGCAGCATTGTATATCAACTATACATCAGTTTTTTTAAATGAAAAAAAGAAAGAACCAGGATCACATGATCTAAAGAGGCAGTCTCAGAAGAGAAAGCAAAATGAAGGGAGGAAAACAGCCCAGAAGGAAGACTCAAGGGAGAGACAGTTTAGGGTAAAAGTTAAGAGCACAGTCTTTAGTATAAGACAGAGCTCACAGTTTAAATCCTTGAACAGTTGCTTAACTTCGCTAAGTCTGATTTCTCAAATCTTAAATGGAAATATTATGATACTTAGTTTGTAAATAGTTGTGACAATATATTTCAAGTACTTTTATTTTTTTAATTGACATATAGTTGATTAACAATGTTGTGTTATAATTAACAATTATTAATAATTAACAATTATTGCTGCTATACAGCAAAGGGAATCAGTTATATATACATTATTTTTCATATTCTCCATTCTGGTTTATCACAGGATATTGAATATGGTTCCCTGTGCTGTAGAGTAGGACCTTGTTGTTTATCCATCCTTATGACCTAGCAAAAAAGCTAATAACCATAAGGTTACCAAAGAGGAAAGAGGGGTTGGGGTGTGGAGTGGGGGTAGTAAGGAGTTTGGGATTAACAGGTACACACTATTGTATATAAGATAGATAAATAACAGGGACCTACTGTATTGCACAGGGAACTATATTCAATATCTTGTAATAACCTAAAACGGAAAAGAATCTGAAAAAGAATATATATTTATGTATATGTGTGTGTGTATAGTCACTTTGCCGTATACTTGAAACTAATGCAGCATTGTATATCAACTATACATCAGTTTTTTTAAATGAAAAAAAGAAAGAACCAGGATCACATGATCTAAAGAGGCAGTCTCAGAAGAGAAAGCAAAATGAAGGGAGGAAAACAGCCCAGAAGGAAGACTCAAGGGAGAGACAGTTTAGGGTAAAAGTTAAGAGCACAGTCTTTAGTATAAGACAGAGCTCACAGTTTAAATCCTTGAACAGTTGCTTAACTTCGCTAAGTCTGATTTCTCAAATCTTAAATGGAAATATTATGATACTTAGTTTGTAAATAGTTGTGACAATATATTTCAAGTACTTTTATTTTTTTAATTGACATATAGTTGATTAACAATGTTGTGTTATAATTAACAATTATTAATAATTAACAATTATTGCTGCTATACAGCAAAGGGAATCAGTTATATATATATACATTATTTTTCATATTCTCCATTCTGGTTTATCACAGGATATTGAATATGGTTCCCTGTGCTGTAGAGTAGGACCTTGTTGTTTATCCATCCTTATATATGCTAGTCTGCACCTGCTAAGCCCTAACTCCAACTCCATCCTTCCCCCACCCCCTGGAAACCACAAGATTTTAAGATTTTATTTCCAATTTTATATTCGTGATATGGGAAAAGGTCTTGGTTTCCACTCATCATGAATATCTTCTCAGCATTTATTTATTAAGTTTCAAACTTTATTTCCTCAAATTTTATGACCCTTTTTCTAGTGTTCACACTTCATTTTGAAGGCAGTTAGTTACTCTTTCTCAAACCAAGGGCTTCACTTTTTTAAATTATTAGTAACTATAATTGTAGTTATTTGATTCATTTCTTTCTGCCCTCTCAGAGTTTCCTGATCTGAAGCTGATATCCTCTCTTGAGCTTTGGGTTGCTGGAAGGAAATCTGTAGAACATGTGAATAACTTTATCCTTGATGTTAGTCTGTGTATTAAAAATTCTGTTTTCCACTTGGTTTTAAAATTTTGATTTTCAGAACATTTCTGTTCATGTCAATGTGTGGCAGAAACCATCACAATATTGTAAACTAATTATCCTCTAATTAAAAAAAATTTTTTTTAATTCTTTGTATCTCAGAGCTACATGTTTTAGCCTTTGAATGGAAAAAAAAGAAAAGAAACGATTTTGTCACCCTTGAATCAGTGTCGGCCGATCAGTAGCAGGTCTTTTACCACTCTGGACATGAGCACATAGGTACAGAAAGCCTTTCCTTAGTCAGAGGATATGGTTTGTGATACTCATTGCTGTTTTAACTGTGATTGCCTTTATATAGTACTCATGAAAAGATTGTAGATTTTTTTTGTTTAAAGTCATGACTATCAAATGTCATGTTCACCCCTCTGCCCATGACAGGGCAGGGTAGAAAATTAGGACTGTGTGTTGTGCTCACTCAGTCATGTCCAAGTCTTTGTGAGTCCATGGACTGCAGCCTGCCAGGCTCCTCTGTCCATGGAGATTCTCCAGGCAAGAATACTGGAGTGGGTTACCAAGTCCTCCTCCAGAGGATCTTCCCAGCCCAGGGATGGAACCCAGGTCTCCTGCACTATGGGTAGATTCTTGACCACGGTGCTACTTGGGAAGCCCCAGTGAGGACTATCTTCGTGCTGTGTCAAGCAGAGTTGGGGGGGAAGGAGAGCTGCTGGCTGACTGGTCTTCAATAGCCAGGATGCGGGTCCTGACTCTTTCCTCTCCCCTGGCAGGCACTTCCTCTTTAAGACGTCCTCGGGAAGCACGCCCCTGTTTAGCAGCTCCTCCCCGGGATACCCTTTGACCTCAGGAACGGTTTACACCCCGCCACCCCGCCTGCTGCCCCGCAATACGTTCTCCAGGAAGGCTTTCAAGCTGAAGAAGCCCTCCAAGTACTGCAGCTGGAAATGCGCCGCCCTCTCCGCCATCGCTGCCGCCCTCCTCCTGGCCATCCTGCTGGCGTATTTCATAGGTGAGTCCGGGCAGCTGTGACCAGGTGGGGCACGATCGCCCACTTGTGAACGGAGGGGACCTCTGTGGTCCGTTCCGTCGGCTTCTTGGCTCCTGCAGGGTGTAAACATGAGTGATGGATGGGAGTGCTTTTTCCCCTCCTGAAATCCATTTCACTTTGATGAGTTTCTCCTTCCTGATGCTAAATGACATTTATCAGAGGTGAAATTAAGCATCCTCACCGTATACTTTCTTGGAGATAAGCTGAAAATTGTCATTGCTGTCAACCCCTCCCTCATTGCTCAAGTAGCCTTCTGCTCTCCTCCATCTTGGATTTTTAACGCAGGTCTGGGCTCGGCAATTCATGCAGCATTGGTTAAACTCCAGCCAGCCAAAAACTGGATAGAAGAGTAGCCATCAGCAGGCCTGGACCGTTGTGATTGCAAGGAAAGTCAGAGTGGCTAGCTGATTTTAGACCTGGGGAACAGAAACGGGACTGAGGGACCGAAGCATCCAGCCAGGTCTTCGTGGGGAATCAAGCCTCCTAGACCCAGTGGATCTTGCCCACCTCTTCTCCTTCAACTCTGTTCCTTCATGTCTCATCTCACACGCTGCTGAATCTGAATCAGATGCACCTCCCACACCAGCTGTGATTCTGGGTTGAGCTCAGGGTGTGAGCTAGGATAGCAGATTGATAAAGTTGCCGGAGTATGTTTCTTCACCCACTGGGGATGTTGCTGTGCATCCACGGGGTATGGCCTTCTAACTGTGGGAAGCAGCAGACGCCAGGGGTTCAGGGACAGGGTGCCCCCTGCATTAGAGCATCCTGAGCTGGGCACAAAGCCTGCTCGTAGCTCCTGGCCCCAACTAAGAGCCCCTAGCACTGCTGCTTTGTCAGCTGAGCTTGCCAGCGGCAGATCTCCTGGCCCAGGCAGAGGCCACGGTGACATTTGTTTAAGTTTATTTGAAACACTGGATGGTTCTGGCATGGTTTCAGGGCTGCTCTGTCAGGCCTCCCCAGTTTGGCTGTGCTGTGTTGCAAAGCAAACCTATAAAACACAGGCAGAAAAAGAGACTGGCTCTAAATGAGTTCTCAGCACGTTTGCTCAGTTCCTTCCCATTTCCAAGAGGGAAAATAAAAAACAACCCTGATCATTCTCGTTTTGCCCTTTCTACCAATATAAACCCTCCTCTCTTTCTCTCACTTTCTTCATCCTCAGGCAGCCAGCAAGGTGCCTGCCAGAGGATAAGCTGGTCCGGAGCTTCCCAGACCATGGTGCTCGAGCTTGCCTGGAGGCAAAGGAGACACCTGTGCTTCCCCAGAGATCTGGGGCCTTGCACAGAGCAAAGCACAGCAGACCAAAACCTGCTGGAAGGGTTTCACTCTCTTTCACTAAATATTGTCGCTGTGCTCATCTTAATATGGAAAACTAAGTTTGTGCAGCCCTTGTTATTTGCATCTCTCAGGAGTGAGTGCCCTCTGGAAGTAAGCACATTGACACTCTGGGGAAAGGCACCCTGTTTATTTGGGGCTTTGCAAAATCCTTTGTACTTTAAACCCCAGCTCTGCATGTGGGCTGAGGTCAGATACCCGGGCACCCCTAATTGAAAGTCATGTCTGCTTCTCACTTACCTCTTGATGAAGGATAGAGTCAGGGATAGCCTGGAGGAGGTCGCTTGGGTGGAATCTTCTCTGTCCTTCAAGGTAGCTTTGTGGGCTTCTCCAGGTAACTGTTCAGGGGTGGGGCTTGGTGGAAGCAAATTCAAAATGCCTTCAGGATCCTTGCTTGATTTGTCTATGTGTCAGAAATTTCAGAAAGGGTCCATGAGCTCACTTCTTGGGCTTCAGTGTTCTGCTGGGCTGGTGGGCACCATGCGGAGCTCAGATATAGAGACTGTCTGCTTCTGCCAATAAGGTCCCCGGTGCAGCTCCTTCTCTTCTCGCAGAGAAATAGATGGCTACTGCCTGATTTATTGAGCTTGATAGTTAAAATATAATGCTTTCTGTAGGGTGATCGTATAAATGGGAAACGGTGTAGCGAGAGTTTAATGTTTTAATCGGGTATGTAACTTGTAAGTGATGGATTAGGAAACATATTTATCCTCGGTCTGGAGGCTACTGGAAACTGGACCCAAGCATCTTAGGATGGTTTATTAGTTTATAATCCATCATTTCCTATTATGTATGCTTTAGGTAAGATTATGCTTCGACCCTGGAGTATTGAAGAATAGTTTATGACTCAAAATGAGTGATGGAAGGGGCTGATTCACCCAGCAGTCTTGGTAGTGCCAAGGCTACTCTCGGCCACTCTCCAAAGGTGAGGGCAGGTCTGCAAGCATGGTGAAGCATCTGGATCTGGAGGATGCCTGATTTAGGAACTCAGGGAGCTGGAGGGATTTCTGACCTTGACCCCAGTGACCCCTTTCCCTGTGGCCTTGACTAAATTGTTTTCCTTTTGGGTCTTGGTTTCCTAAGTAAAACCTGGAAGTGATGGTTATTGACATTCAGAAACTCTAAAGTATGATGAGGATTAATTAATGTGTATAAATCACATTCTTCTGCTTTGAAGAAGAAAAGCAGTATATTATTAATTACAGAACTGCAGGGGCATAAAGAGTACTTTGAAAACGCAGAGCAGAGTGCTGTCAGGAGCAACACATGATTGTGCCTACCTAGAAAACAAACCATCAGGCAGGACAGAAGGACAACATAGAAAGCAAAGCCCTTCTGTTAAGGAGGGCGATGATTTTAAGACCTGAGCCCGCTCTGACTCATGCATGACTCTGTGTTCTGCTGGAACATGACAGGTCCTGAAATTGACACATCCGCCCCAGGACAGTTATGGACAGGCACTGGATTCAGGCCTGCCAGGAACTCTGACAAATAGGCCAAATTATCTTCCTTTCGTGTTGAAACTTGCATGAAGTCTTTCCAGAAATGAGCAATTTGGAAACGTTCAGCCCCGTGACAGTTCTTCCATAGCCTCAGCCTGTGGGCAAGTGTAGATCAGAGTAACACCAGCCCTCGGGCAAAATGGAAGACGTGAGCCTTTACCAACTGTGGTGAGGTCCCCCGGTTCCTGCTCACGCAGCTGGGGTCTTTTCTGTGATGCTCTTCCATCAGATTCTTCCAGTGCCAGAGTCTCCCAGGGTACAAAACATCCTCAAATAAATTATTCTGAAAAGCTACATGAACCACTCGGGGACCATCTTATGCATCACTCAGCCCTTCGCCCAAATGGTTCCTCGAGAAGACTGGTTTTCGGAGAATTTGGCTGGGAAATGCATGAGAGCTTCCTGCTCAGGAAGTCGTCTGTTATCCTTGGGCTGCTCAAGTACTTTCATTGCCGGCAACAACAGAAATCCCTCTGGATCCCTGAGTTCCTAAAACATGTAACCAGCATGCTGTTTCTCACCTGTGTTATGCCAAGTCTACTAAGTTTTTCTCCTTATAGGGTGCATACAATAACTGGTTAATGCCTTCTGTTTGATTAGAATCGTTTCTCTATTTAAAGCACTTGTATATAATTATTGGCTTTCCTGGTGGCTCAGTCAGTAAAGAGTCTTCCTGCAATGAGGGAGACCTGGGTTCAATACCTGGGTCAGGAGGATCCCCTGGAGAAGGAAATGGCAACCCACTTCAGTATTCTTGCCTGGAGAATCCCATGGACAGAGGAGGCTGGCAGGCTACAGTCCATGGGGTCACAAGAATCAGACATGACTTAGTGACTAAACCACTACCATATAATTATTAAATTTGAACCATACCCCAGCCCCCTAATATACACTCTGGCAGAAAACGAAATTGGCTTATTGCGATCCTTTCACAGTTGTTGCTGCTGAAGCCCAGAGGGTCTCAAGTCACATGGCTAGTTAGTTGCAGGACCAGGACTAAGCACTCATTCTCCTGATGCCTTGTCTAACATCTCTCCCTTGACTGCTCTCTCCTAAACATCATGGTTAGCCACATTTCCCAAATACTGCTTGAAGCCTCAGTCATCCTTTTCGTAGCATCAGTTCACCCTACCTAATTCTGTCCTTATTAACAACTGAGAAAAATTGGTTCCCATCCTCCCCGAATCATCTTCTAAAAAAATAGGAAAAAGCCACATCTCCTGCTTAGTCTCCTAACCTGGCCTCATATTTCTGCTTTCCCAAATATCTTCTGTCACAGAGACCATCAAACTTTTTCAGTCAAAAGCTAGATAGTAAATATTTTTCGTTTTGCGGGTCATGCAGTCTGTTACAACTCCACAACTTTGCCGTTGTAATTCAAAAACAGCCGTAGATGGTGTGTCGACAAATGGCCGTAGCTTTTTTCCAGGCGTCTTTAATTGTAGCCACTGAAATTTTTATTTTATGTACTTTTCATGTGTCATGAAACACTATTCTTTTGATTTTTTTTCACCCATTTAAAATGCAAAACTGTCCCCTACGTCCATGTATTGTTGCCACAGTCTGCCAACCCCTGTCTGATTACATTACTATTCTTTTCCTAAAAATATCTTTTCAGACTATCTCCACCTTTACAAAAACAAACAAAAAAAACAGGCAACAAGATACACTACAGTGCTCTCAAACTGGCAGGAGTCCACTGTAAATGGTGATTGCCTATAATCCCACTTCATAATGAATGCTTTCATCTTATTTTCTGACCCAAACTAAAAGTGGAAAAAGTAATTCACTTTTCTCCCTAAGATAAAAACTTTTTATAAGATAAAAGTTTCCTTCCCAGTAGACTGCTTAAAACACTGCCCCAACTCATGGATGGAGTATAATTGCCAGGAACTTGACCCACATACTCACTTGCCCTCAATCTTTAGATTTCTCTGCAAAACTATTGCCTGTTTTTAAAGATGACTCAGCGCCTGACGCCTTCTTTGGTGAGATTTTCCAACAGGTCTTAACAATGCTGGGTCTCTGAATGACATCACTGCTTTCTTGTCCCGGGTTAACATTGTCGAGATCTCATTTCCTTATAAGGCAACAATATTCTTGCAGGACTACCCCCATCAAGGAAGAAAGATGCTTGTAACGTATGACTTGGCTGTTTAAATCCAGATAATCCTCGAAATTCAAAGAAAGTCAAACACAACAGTTCAGCATGACGCGGGCCTCAGACCGTTGCCCCTGAGTTAAAAACAAGAGTCTTCTGTCAAAAATTCTTCACATGGCTGGGAGAGGAAGGGGAGTAGAGAGAGAGATAAGAGCATTTATGTCATCCTAAATTAGTTTTCAGCTCTTCAGATCCCTGCCAAACTAAAATACATATATATGTATTAGAAAGTCACCTTGTCTCTTCACTACAGTAATTCCTGCCAAATATGAAATACTGTGTTTTAAGTAAGCTGTTCACTGCTCTGCCTTCTGCCAGTCTCACTTTGATCTGGGAAGAACGCGGGCCATCAACATGTCAGGATGTTAAAAGTCTGGTAATTTGGGGTGCTTTCAGTTTCTTTTGAAAACAATGAGAGATTATTTTCTATGGAAACTAAAAGCCTACAATATGTTTAAAGTTGCTACACTTGGAAATTGATGTGTTGAGACTCACGCTGATGAATCCTGCGTTCTCGGCTGCTATTTTGTGTATTCCCATCTCGCCGAATAGAACGGGTTTGGGGGAAAACATAAAGAAAATGACAGAAGATGATGAGAACAGTTAGTTTAACCTGGCTTTCTTCCTGAGGACACAGCCTAGGAGAAATGTCAGCCCTCCCTTTTCAAACTCACCACTCTTTGACTATCTAGAGAAATACTACACCTTCCCCTCCTATATGAATTCCAAATTATGTATTTATCTCCCATTATCTGAAGGGCAAAATGCTAATGATGATGTTTGAACAATCCAGCAAATAACATTTCCACCCAACTCCCCGGCCCTAGATCATCAAACCTCACAGTCAACCACAGAGATAAAGAGAACCGCCCACAAATAAGTCAGGGGACCCAGTTATGTTACGCATTCGATGTTAGTAGCAGACTTTTTATCTAATAGATATGCTAATGTGCTCTTAACTGGATAATAAAGTCCTGTCAGTGCTTCCACACTGGTGCATCTCTGGCAGTGGGGCTGCCATTTCCTAATTGTATACCTGATTTCAAGAGGATCTGTCGACTTACAGAAAGTAAATTAAGTCATTGGCTGGGTCCCCCTCACCTAGCCACCGTGCGGCAACATTTGTATCTCATGTTTGACATTCAGAAAAGATGAGTTCCTCTGCTGAAGGGAAGGAGGTGTTTTTGCTTTCCTCTCCAAGGTGCCTGTCAGAAATCAAGGTAGTTGGGGGCGGAGGGGAGGGATAAACTAGGAGTTGGGATTAACAGATACACACTACTATAAAATAGGTAAACAACAAAGACCTGCTGAAGACTGCAAGGAACTGTATTCAGTGTCTTGTAATAACCTAAATGGAGAAGAATCTGAAAAATAGTGTATGTTTGCATGTATATGTATTTGTAGGGGCTTCCCTTGATGGCTCAGCAGAT